AATAACATGTGTACCATGATTCAATTATTCATTGTTCTATTTTTCATTATCTGCGTATGTATTATTCATTCCCTGCGTTGGTGTATTTATCTGTATGTCATGAACTAGTAGTGTGTAAGGAAGGAAGCATCTTACCTAGTATGGAGTTATTAACTGGTATTTTTTGTATGGATGGCTCAAAAAAATGAGAAGAAATGACAAACTATTGATGAGCTATTTAGGGCAAGGGAGTTGAAAATGATAATCACGGTTAATGAATTTCACTTTATCCTGGTTTATTCTGGTGCAAAAGGAGAAGAAATGATATTTGGATTTTCATATGACTGTGTGATGGTATTTTTTTGCCCTTAGTACAATGAAATCAATGTGCCTCCACTCAAAATATCTTCAGTAGGTAGTAGCCTTGTTAATTTTCCATACTTATGTTTGGCTCTGGCAAGTATGAATCCAGAGGATATAAACAACTGTTGCTCAACATGCTTTCTATCCTCATATTTGCATTTGAGTTTGAGGTGTTGTGAATGTAAGTTACCTTTTCAATTGATGGGGTAAGTATCCTGCACAATACCACTGCCTTGACAGATCATATTTGCAGATTGCAGGTCAGGTGTCAACCTTATAAGGGATTCTAGTTACTACTAATTCATGTAGTGGCCAATGGCAGTCTAATCAATCATGCTTGAGGGAAAAATAAAAAGTTGAGTAAATAATGTAATGAATCTGAGATTAAATTGATACTCAAATCTTCATTGTGGAGTTTTTAGCTTCCCCAGGCCTATTGTACTTCATAAGCATTTTTTTTATGTGGTTGTGTTATATCGACCTGTGAACCTTTAAGATCAAAGGCCTGAAACCACATTCCATAGTTCAGTATTGTGATTTGTGGCCAAAGCCCCGATTTGCAGTTTAAGTTCTAATGCATCTAACTGAAGAGTGTCTGGAAGCTTGTGAGACTTTATTTGCATAGTTTTGAATGTGACCATTAATTGCTTTGGAAGGGATCTCATGGAGGTCCATGAAGTTGTAAACCAAATAGTCCGCTCGTGTTGAATTTCTTTGAAATGTGTCTTTCTACAGGATTTTGGTTTTTGGGATAGAAAGCTTTGGTTATGTTGTTTGGAGAGCTTTTAGAAAGTTTATTTGATCCATTTATTTCAAAAACTGTTTATTTAGTGGAATTGTCAAGTTCAAGCAAACACATAAATGTATATTTGATCAATTTCAGACATAATTTACATAATGTGCCAATAGGTATCTTTGTGTCCTCTGACCGAATAGACCAAATACTCCTTCCACTTGCATAGCATATTTGCAACAGATTAAGCAAGGCACATGTGCCTGGCTACTCACCTTGTTTACGAGGAAAGATGAAGTGACGTGAGCATAAGAGCACAAGTGTTTCTTCTTTAATGTTGTAGGAGTACTTTCCATTGTTTGAGAAATCATACCTCCACTGATAAATAATTGGAATACCCCTTTTATTGCAATTCAGTGTGTTTTGGTTATAAAACCCTGATTTCACACTTGATATTCTCCTCATTCCAGGATATGTGCAGAAGATAACAACACGAACAGATATTGATGTCATGGAGGATTTGGATAATGGGAAACCACCTTGACCCAATTAACCATGAATATTTTTTCCAACCCGGGAATATTATTGTTACAACTTCGATGAGCTCATCTGCGTATTAATCCATGCAGAATTGTTGTAATTCTTAAGCAACCCTTCGTTGCATTTTTTTTCACTTAATTTTGTTGCGCTTAAACAAAAGGATGATTCTCTTATATTTTGTTTTGTTGTTGATGAGTGACAACAAAAGGAGATGTTGGAGGATCGAATCAAGGGAATTCGTTGTACCCCGTAAGACTCAAGAATATATTACTTTCTGTTATTACTTTTCATGTCTGCCATCATCCTCACCTTTCTTCGAACGTTGGTTGCGTAGTGGTGTTCAAGTTGTTGAGGAATAATATTATTCTGGTTTATCCTTGTGCTTTCAGGGTAATACATCTTTTATGCTTTCATGGTGATAAATCTCATTCCACCAAGTTAATAATCAAGGGTTGATGTACTTTTAAATCTCGTTCTTGTAAGTTTTTCTCTCTTCACAAAGTCCTAGCAGAAGATGTCAAATTTGAGTTTTCTGGCTATCCAGTGAAACTGTCAAAGAGGTAGCTCCTGCAGAAATCATCCCGATTGTTTTCATCTAGAAACTATCGGAACTCTGGCTTATTGCCTGTGTTTTTGGTACTGTGATAAAGAGTACGTGGATCAACTTACGTGTACTTTGACTGATCTTTTTTTCAATCCAATTAAAAATTTATCATGCACGTTGAAATTAAGAAATTTCTGACAAATAAATGACAGTGTCTAATCAGACAACAAAACAATATTGCAGCGGCTAATAACATTGCTTGTTTCCTACCATTAGCAAATCCAGGTACTTCTGTCCACGGAGGCCATGTATATGACTTGGCCGCCTGTACTATACAAACCAAAAACTGCAGAGGGGAATATGATCGATGCTTACCAAAAACAGAAGTTCCAACCATAACTTCAACAGTAATCTGCAAAACAGCATTTGGAATTCCTAGATACTGAAATGTATGTCATCTCTATCAATCAGTACCGTCCCCACAATCTTGGTCATAATCTTCCACCGAATTGTATCTGTTATACTCACTGCAGATATATAGACACTCGGTGATCCTTAGAGGTGTCTTCACCGGAGTACTTACCCACAATTCTAAGCAATGGTAACTTGACCGGTAATCACCACGAGCATTTGCCATCCTTGAAAATGGTGAAACTTTTTGATGTCTCTAACTATTAATTCACGCCAAACAATCCTGGACATTATCTTTCATAGCATTGTGACACTCACCACAGACACGGAGGTTCTTAAGGATCCTTAGAGGCGTCCTTGTTGGAGTACTAATGGCAGATTGTTTCTTAGGTGGTGGTGTGGGGATCTTATTAGGAACAAGCTTCAAGGTATCAAGACCAACTATCAACTCCTCAGCACTGTCTTCAAGATCAATATCCATGAATTGGAGCATAATTCATCAAGGCCTGCCAAATTGCCGCCGTTGGTTCAAATGGTAAGTTCTCAATAAACTCCTCAGCCTCAGCAACATGGCTAGGTTTTCCAAGAACATCAAGACCACCCAAATAAAGCTCCATCCCATACTCAGTCTTGATTGAAACACGACTCCATAAAACTTCATAATTTTTGAAATTAAAATTAAGAATGAGAGACTTCATTGTCTATCTCCGATTTCATGCGCCAAAACAATATAATCAAATATTTCTTAAAAAAGAGACTATCATATAACTATTTACATTTTGTGTTGAAGAAACATGCGTTGGGATTTTACCGCGGGCTTGGGCAGCATGAGCCGATCCAGCGTTGGTGGATTTTACGGGCTTTTCTGAGATGAAACGTGGGCTCTTTTCTGGGCCTGGTTGGGTCTGCACCAAGCAAGGCCCAACCTATGGTTAGCCCAACTGAGTAAGGAGGAAAAGGGCCTAACCTCCCTGAACCGCCTACATTTTACCGCCAAACTGAGATTTAAATACGAAGATAATGTCCGAATCCGAACACTGAGAGAAACGAAGTGAGAGGGCATTGCAATGGAAGATGACGCCGTTTCACCCTCCGATCCCAGCGATTCGAGCGAAGAGTTCACCTATGACGACGAAGAAGATCTCAGCTACAAATCTGACGACGATGATAACGATGATGATGAACAATCCACCGTCCGTTCAGCTCCACCAAATGAAGATCGAAAATCGCAGAACGTGATTGCTCTTCTAAGGTTCATAAGCTCGATTTTCTTTTCAATGAAGAATTCTTCTATAGTTTTTTAGTTATTTTCTTTATTGACGTTAATTCTCACCATGGGAGCTTTTCGGTTTCAATCTAGGGTTTGAAACTTCTTCAGTAAATTGTGCAATCCTTTTTGTTATACAGTAATTTATGCATGCTAATTAATTCAGATTCTCTCTCTTAATTCTCATCATGGGAGCTTTTTGGTTTCAATCTAGGGTTTGAAACTTCTTCAGTAAATTGTTTAATCCTTTTTGCTATACTGTAATTTTTGCATGCTAATTACATTCAGATCTCTCTCTCTCTCTCTCTCTCTCTCTCTCTCTCTCTCTCTCTCTATGTATAACAACAAAATGTGCGTACACACATGCTCATACACACGAATGCTTATATTGTACACTAATAATTTCTGAATTGGAGGGTTCAACTAGTATTTTGTTTTGTCAGAGGCAATATTGTCGTCAAAAGACAGTCAGTACTTCCACGAGTTTATTCAGTAACAGAGACTGCAGCAAATGTTAGAAAGCCCTTTAAACCTCCCAGTTCTAATGGTTACATCGACAAAAATGAACAACTGGTTCGCCGTCTCTGGGCTCGAAAACGCTTTGTGCCCTGGGGATCGACAAGGCCGGCATTAGTTCCAATTACAAATCGGCTACATGTTCCTGTTGAAGAAGAACCATCAAAAGAGATTGTGGACTTGCCCCAAGGGTTTGAACCTTTGGTGTTGTGGCAGCCGGAGGATTTTGAAGAGGGAGACTGTAACGCAGTGTCGATAGCTGTGGAACCTTTGCTTGTTAATTTCCTGCGGCCCCATCAAAGGTATATCATGTGGTAGAGAAATAGTTGCATTTGGTTTTTGACAACTGACGTGTGCACCATGCAACCTAATGACATTAATTGGTACCTTACGATGCCAGAAAAGCATCATCACCATCTTAGCTTCCAGCCTTCCACAACCCCTAACCCGGTTCTATCATTAAAGATGCATGGCGAAGGCATGTTTCTGTATCAGTTTGTAAAATTATGTTGCCACAATGTCAGTTAGTCGAACTGATCAGTGCCATGCCATGAGTCTTAAACTTGTCTATGTTTGTATCTTAATTCTGTTAAATATTATTTTTCTGTGTTTTTTTATGGAATTAGTATTGGGATGTAAATGAGGGACAAGTTATCTGATGAAGTGAGAACATTAGTAGCTGGAGGCTATCTTGAAGTCTGATTTTTCTCTATTTGATTTTCTGAAAGGCTTTGTTTAACTTTGCTTGCAGAGAAGGGGTTCAGTTCATGTTTGAATGCGTTTCAGGGTTATGCAGTGGTGCCAATATCCATGGATGCATTCTGGCTGATGACATGGGGTAGTAATATTAGTTGGCATCTCTAGGGCCAACGTGTAACCAAGTATATGGAGTGATTTTCTAATTTATTATGTTTGAAGGTTTGTTAGCATTCTTGGTTAATTTGTTGCAGGTTGGGAAAGACATTGCAGTCAATCACATTGTTGTATACGCTTCTTCGTCAGGGATTTGATGGTAAACCAATGGTTAAAAAAGCAATAGTCGTCACTCCTACCAGTCTTGTCAGCAATTGGGAGGCTGAAATTAAGAAGTGGGTGGGGGAAAGACTTAAGCTTGTTGCTCTGTGTGAAAGCACTCGGGATGACGTTGTCTCCGGCATTGATAGTTTTATAAGTCCTCACAGTTTTTTACAGGTAAATTGGCAAAATTATTTGGGTTGTCTAGAATCAATAGTTTATTCATCTGTTCTTCTCCCAGGTATTGATTGTTTCCTATGAGACATTTCGGATGCATTCATCCAAATTCAGTCAAAGTGGATCGTGTGACCTTCTTATATGTGACGAGGCTCATAGGCTGAAAAATGATCAGACATTGACTAATCGGGTAAGACTTGTTGATTTAATGTTTAAATTGAATTTAAGTGTTCTTCTATGATTTCTTATTTTTTATATCTGTTTTTAAGATTGCTTATGACACTATTTGGATCAGGCATTGGCTGCCGTATCATGCAAGCGACGCATTCTGTTGTCTGGGACTCCAATGCAAGTGAGAGCCACTTGGGCATGGTTATTGATTTATCTGTTGTTATCAAATTCTTATTCTTTTTTTTTTTGTGATGCAAACTTTTCTTCACCTTCCACATCTGAACTCCAGAATGATCTAGAAGAGTTCTATGCAATGGTTAATTTTACCAATCCAGGGATCTTGGGTGATGCTGCAAATTTTCGGCGTCATTATGAGGTGATTTTACCTATTTACATTTTTCATTATTCGGGACAATGAATATGTACCTTCCAAAAACAAAGGCAATGGATATGAATCTTAATTCTAATATTCTTGCTGCAACTTGATATTTTCTGGGGCTTACACTATACATCACTCTTGTAATTATGTAGACACTGGATGTGAAATATATAGTTTGAACTACTACTACCAAGACTTACACTAATTAACTCTGTCAGCCTGTATGGTACACTATTCCATTTCTGATTTTGTTGGTTTACCCTTATGAAGACACCCATCATTTGTGGTAGAGAACCTACTGCCACTGCAGAAGAGAAGAAGCTAGGTGCTGAGCGTTCTGCAGAACTAAGTGCAAAAGTAAATCAGGTAATTGTCTATCTGAATATGATGCAATTCTAGAAGCTGATTTCCATAGTTTGTGATCAAAAAGCATGCCGGCCCTGAACACTGTTCTCTGGGATGCAATTTGCTCTCCACTTCTAAACAAAGTGTTCTTCTTTGGACCTGATCCATGATGTTGTGTTTTCAGTTTATATTGAGGAGGACTAATGTATTGCTGTCAAATCACTTACCACCGAAGGTAGGGTTATTATCTTAATCTGTGATTCCCTTGTATTCTTCTGATCTTGCATAAATAGCACAACATATCAGCTCGCCTCCAGGATTTATTTAACTAATGGAGCAAAAAGTTTTTGCTTGGAAACTACCTATTTTTTTTCTTTATATAAATTTTTGTTTATATCAGTTGTGTTGTGTGCGGTTATGGATGGTACAGTAGTGAAGTTAAATTTCAACAAGGCAGTTGTGCATGATACGCTTAATAGTTCTCAATACCTCTTTGAAGTATATGTAAGAGTGCTTGACAACAATTTTGTTGAGAAATATCTTCAACTTGATCATTATTGCTGCATAAATGGTCAATGCTTTGAGCTTAAAGTTTGAATTTCTTTTGTTGAACTTGTATTTTTGTTCTGTTATCACTCAAAGGTTTTGCCCCACACAGTATCTTGTACCCATCCTTTGTTGTGTTTATCCCTGTGTTGTTTGGATTAATGACCGACTTTTTAACTTGTTGGCTATTGGAACAGTGGTTTGGAGAGGGGAGTATGTGCATTGCACCAATGAATTTAAATTTCACTTTAAGTTGTCCAAAAAGAAGGTTCACTCAGGGGACTTTTCTTTTTACGCATCAAAATAGAATTTGTCCATTTGTGCTGACCAGTTATGGTTGTCATTAACAGTTTAAATACTTACAATTCACCACTTCTGAAATGTAATTGCTCCTGCAGATAATTGAAGTTGTTTGTTGCAAGTTGACTCCTCTCCAGTCAGCACTTTACAATCATTTTATTCACTCAAAAAATGTAAATTCGAAGTCCTCCAAATTGACTATGCATTTAAAGGTGCAAAAGTTTCTGACCAAAAGTGGTATACTTGACACTTCAACTTTTGTTTTTACTCCTAAATACAGGTTAAACAAGCAATTACTGAAGAGACAAAGAAATCAAAAATCTTAGCTTACATAACAGCTTTAAAGAAGCTCTGCAACCATCCAAAGGTAAAACATTTTGGAAGTATAGTATTCCATAGAGTTAGAATTTTCCTCTATGTGATTCAACTTACCTAAGAGTTGAGAAAAAGGTGCATCCATAGCCTCACGTATATTTATTTACATTGCAAAATATTTTTGGAGAAGTTTTATATGTGCTCTACTAAGTGTAGCTCAGCAAAACTTTCCTTGATGGAATGAGAATAGATACAAATATTTTGAGGATGCTGTAACCTTTCGGCCACCCATGATATGACATGCATTAGTTTCTGAAGGAACTGCCAGGATGAAATGAAAGCATGGTTTGTGGGGATGATTAATGAGAGATTTCGGATTAGAATCCTTTTTGAGAATCAGGATAAACCCCTGCATTCAACCTATGTGCATTCAGTTGGGACTTGAGTTGAATTGAGTGTGAAGACAGTAGATGAAACACATATTACTCCCTAAAAGAAAGGAACAAGGTCATTATAGTTGGTTGTTTCCATTTTTATTGTTTTTTTTCTGAATTTTGTCAAGGTTCTTACAAAATTTGATTCATTTTTGAAAGTTATTTTTGTTTGTGTCACTTTTCCAATGAAGAAACATTTTGTAGTAAACAAAATATAAGCATTCAAATTGAAGAGAATTGTGTTGCACTTGCACCTCTACAGAAACAATTTTCACTAGATATGAACTCTTGCAGATGCACAGATGCATCAGAATGATTCACAATGCTGATATTTGGGGAACATTTGGTTCATTTGGCAGCAGCAACTAGAAAACAAAGTGGGAAATATATATGCACAACATAGATATGTGTGTATAGATATCAGCATTTAAATGTGTTTGCTTCTTATGTTCATTCTGTGTAAGATACGGAAACCAGTGAACTCATGTGAAATAAATATATGCTGAAGCTGATATATGACACAATAAGAAGTGGGAATCCAGGAACATCAGCGTTTGAGGACTGTTTGCACATTTTTCCTCCAGAAATGTTCTCTGGAAGGTAGGCCATTTGTGATTATATTGTTGTGTATGGTTTCTTGTCCGTGAATTTCATATTAAGAAACTTACCCAAAAAAAATCATATTACTAATGTTTGGCATTCTGTTAGATCTGGATCAAGGACTGGTGGTGATGGTCTTTGGGTTGAACTATCAGGGAAAATGCATGTCTTAGCCCGCTTACTGGCACAGCTCCGTCAGAGAACAGATGACCGAATTGTCCTAGTCTCAAATTACACACAGGTATTAAGATGGGTTCTCATCGTTATCCATGATTGTATATTCCGAGTACTTTGCATTTGTTATGCCAAGTTCCCATTGTTAGGATATGGATCTTTTTTCAATCACTTATATCCACTCTTTACTCTGCTTCATAAATCGTCTGTCTTTCATTGATTCTCTAGTTCAGGGTCTCCACGGATCTTGTCAATTGTTTATGGTCAGTGGTATGGCGTGCATGACAAATAATGATTCTGACTTCTGGGGATAAATTATCGAACCCTGTTGTTAATTGATCCCCTGTCTATTAAGCAGTTACTTGTATTTTTTACCAGTGATGAAACTTGCAGTCGATACTTCTCTTTTTTGTGTTAAATATAATAGCTGTGATTCACCAGACTCTGGACCTCTTCGCTCAATTGTGTCGTGAAAGAAGATATCCGTTCTTAAGGCTTGATGGAACTACTTCAATTAGTAAAAGGCAAAAGTTGGTCAACCATTTTAATGATCCATCAAAGGTATGTAGATTGTCTGTCCTTCGAATCATTACCTGTTATATGTCCTCACCTCTTAAGACAATATGTATTGAGAGCAGCAAGTTTAATGATTCATCTTCAGGATGAGTTCGTGTTTCTCTTGAGCAGCAAGGCTGGAGGTTGTGGCCTCAATTTGATTGGTGGAAACCGACTGGTCTTGTTTGATCCTGACTGGAACCCGGCAAATGACAAACAAGTAATCATTTCACTAGACTTTGCACATAAAGCTGTGATGTCAGTCGTAAAAGGAACATTATTTTGCTTAGGATAGAATTTTGTTCTCTTTTAACACTTATGCAGGCTGCTGCAAGGGTCTGGAGGGATGGTCAGAAGAAGCGAGTATACATCTATAGATTTTTGAGTACTGGAACCATTGAAGAAAAGGTTTGATGTAGCAGTATCTTTAGCCAAAACAATACTTTCTTGGTTTATTGCACTCATAATGCTCTGTGGTCCATCTGTAGTGATCCACCTTAAGCTCAACAGATGCACTATTTTAATTTTTCGGCAGGTGTACCAGCGTCAGATGTCAAAGGAAGGGCTTCAAAAGGTTATTCAGCAGGAACAGACAGATTCTAAGACCCAGGTACCCGTTTTGCTGCTTTCTTCCTGTCTTATATGTGGCAGTGCTCTTCAAGGTCTAAAATCAAGAGTTCTAATTGCAGGGAAACTTTCTTTCAACAGAAGATTTACGTGACCTGTTCACATTTCATGATACTATCAGGTGTGCACTCATTTAATATCTACTATCGAAAGCATTAGTGCGAAGTCATCTTTGTATGAAAGCAATTTAATGATGAATGAGCAGGTGAAGGGAAAGGTTTTCATGGCTCTACATGTACATGGTTTCTCATTTATGTAAATAGGAGTAAAAAGGATTATTTTTATGTTCAAGCCTGTGAAAATTTCTAAGGCAACTTACAGCCTTGATGCATAAATCTCTCTCTCTCTCTCAAAGCACATTTTATGTTTGAATATTAGATATGCTATTACTGATGGCAATCATGTCGTATGCACGGTTGATGTCTTATGCACTAGAAACAATGATTAGAACTCTGAAACATCCAATGCAACCATACTGATTTACAGTCTTCTGAAGTTCATAATTTGTTTCCTTCAGTTGGTTAGTGTCAGACAATTTTTTAGGCTAGTTCCAGGAGCTCCAGCTGTTATGCAATGTTTATAAATGATTCGTCGAATAAAGGACTAGTGTTTCTCCTGATTAGCTGGTATTATGACAGTACAGAAATGAAACAATTATGATGTTCTTCTTCCTTTAAATCCAGCTTTCCTACTGTTTTTCATGTTCTGCTTTCAAACCGTGGATTGAAACATGCTCCATCCATAACCTTTCAATACATGCTCTAATTAAATGGGGTCTAGAAATATAGTTTTATTACTCATCTTTGTTAATAGTGTCTTTTCTAATGGACACTGTCTATAGATCTGAAATTCATGAAAAGATGAGTTGCAACCGTTGCCAAAACTATGAGGTAATGCTAGATGATCGGTTTGAGAATATAGATGAGGTAGGGGAAATTAAATCAACAAATGAAGACTGTCAGGCGGATCAGGAGGATATAGGGGGATTTGCGAGCATGGCTGGGTGCTTGCATAAGTTAAAAAGCTCAGAGAAACAGGTTTGTGATTATATTATATGCACTGGCACCAAAATTCTTGTTTAAGTGGCATTTTTTTCTTATATGAAGCTATGATCCTTTTCTTTTTCTAGGTGGGAACCCCGAAAGAAGAAGATTTAGGTAACTGGGGGCATCATTTTTTCCCCACATCAGTACCTGATGCTATTTTTCAAGCTTCAGCCGGAGATGAGGTGTGCCGAGAAATTAAAAATTTCCAGTGAAGCTGGATTTTTCTCATTTTCACTTTCAGGGAGGATGTCAATTAAAATTCAAAGCCAAGTTCATCAGGGTTTGATAGGTTTCCAATGTTAAGAGTTACCACATTTTAGGGTCCACTCACACAATCAATTATACCATCTTTTGCTTTTGAATTGTGATGCATTAAACATCCACTACTTCCCCTCTTAAACCCTTCCAAAATCTTGCCAACAGTCATTTAAAATGTAAATATATCAGCTTGCCTGCTTGTGTGAAGAATTACATAATTTTCAGTAGTAAGAAAAACAAAATCATTGCATGCACTTCACCTTGAATATGAGTAATCATATTCTATGCGTTTTGATTAATTGTTATTTTTTATCTCACCAGAGGGAGGTTGGACTAACATAAAACTCCAATATTGTTCTTGTTGCAGGTCTCCTTTGCTTTCACTAATCAAGTAGATGGCAAGCTTGTGCCAGTTGAATCAAAGGTAAGGCCAATGGTAGAACTAGTTGAAGGAAACAAGAACCAAACCACTTCAAAGGAAAATCTAACACGGAAATTCATGTTACCGTCTCAACGTCAACCCTCACTTCCAACAATCTCTTCCCATGGAATTTCTATTGGGGGCCCATTTCCTGCTTCTTTCAAGCATTTGCAAAGGCCGCTTACAAAAGTAACAGAAGGTAAAACTTATGTAGCATTGAAACCTGCACTCTCTAAAACTCATGTAGCATTGAAACCTAAACTCTCTCTTGCAAATCAATTACCCCAAAAAAGATTGTCTCCTGACTGCGTCAGTGATGATGATTTTCAGTAAATTTTGGGTATTTCAAATTATTATTTTTTTGTTTCACATGAACATGTGGTTATTAACTAGTTAAAGATGCTAGATCATCTCAACTTTAAAATTGGCAAGTTTGATCTAGTTCAAGCATCCATCTTTAGATTCATTGGACTCCAGTGATAGGTTTTGACGAGCCTCTTTGAAACTAAATGAGTTTAAGAGCTAACCGAAACCTAGAACATTTTGAAATTGAGAGGATCCAAACTTGACTTAGCAAGAGTTGAGCAAGCATTGTGTGAGACTTTGAGCACTTACAAGGATAGGTTCTTCTGTCTCTATTGATGGCTATTTAGGTATATATATATATATATATATATATATATATATATATATATTGCCTGTGATTTAGGAAGACAAATGCATTGGTGTAAGTCATTCCATAAGTTTGGCAGATTCTCTTATTCCTATTGCATGATGTTGGATAGAGGGAATACTTCAAAGGATATGGCAACATTCATAGCACCGGAGCTCTCCCTTGATCTGACATTGGAAAACATGCCTAGAACTCAAATGTGATAGAAGAAATAGAAGGTTCTTAAATTATTAGTACGTACAGACAAAGCCTGCTTACAGGATGGGAGACCAAAAGTAGACAAGGCCTTAGACCATGCTTTATTCTACTTGTTCATTAAGAAAAGATACGTTTTTACAGGAAATGTGACTGCGCCGAAAGTTTTTTTTCGCTATTACATAGGAAATTAGAATCGTTCCCAACATGTTATGTTTGATCCCAATTTTGTTGAACCGTCTTTCCCCTTGGTCATGACTCATGAGGTTGGTCCAATTTCTGTCAAGTTCCCCGAAGAGTTTTTACAGATGTAGTGTTAGGAATCAGCCACTTGTCACAATGCCAGTTAGCAATCCGCCGAAATTCCCTGAGAAGAGGATGAACCATGTGAGAGTCAGTAGTATGATTCAAGGTAAGTGGAATCCTTTGACTGTACGCGTATTATTTAGTCAGTCCAATACTCGGTCTTATTTGTCTTTCTGAATAGTCAATCAGTGAGAAAAGCTAACTACACATGAGCTTTAGCTGTAACTTTAAGTCTATAATTGGTATTATCAAAGGGTAGTTCAAGTACTAACATCGGTGGGTTATAAATTTAGACGTCTTGAGGTCAAATTTTGTTAATTGTTTGAGGTTAGGTTATGATAGATTTATCTTTTATGAATACTTTAGTGTCGATATAAATTATCTATCTTTGACTGGGACTGGACCAAAGAAGGGATTAATCGAAGTGCGCGTAAACTGACCTAAATACCCCATTGAACTAGAAAAATAATAATTGGCATGCATGTGTCTGTGATCAGGAGATTTTGCTGATTACTTGTGGAGATATCATATTAAGAAGTGGCTTGTACATAAATTCCAAGAGCATATGCTTCCCATGTTCTGCACAACTGTGTCTTTGACTGCCTTTCCCTAGTCATCCAATTAGTCTTAAAAGTAGTGATGGTAACTCGTGGATTAGTTGGCATCTCCATTTTGGAACTTAAAAACAAAGCAATGTAGCTAACTAGCTAGCTGCAACGGAGAGATCTGATCTGGGGAAGGCATTATTGGGGGTTTGATTACGATCACACGAAACCAAATGTAGGGGGTAAGGAAGGGTTAAGTAATAACTTCTTTTTTTTCTATAGGGTGTCCAAACTCTGTGTCAATTATTCTCTTGAGTTCGGTGTTTGTTATTATAGTTTGAGTTGGATTAGAAAAAATATTAACTTTTATAAACACTGTTAATGCATAAATAATGTCAAACTAAGATAGATCAATATTTGAACAATAATTCAAAATTCTCCTTGAATAATTTTCGGTGTGAAAGTAATTGAGAGAGATATCAATTTGATTTAACCCCCGAGATAATTCACATTTATAGTTTGTTGAAAACTTTTGAAATGGCTACTTAAGTTTAATAATGGTAAGTTATAGTGGGGGTGCCCCATGATGGATCTTAAGGAGAGGTGTGTCATGACCATCGTACCCCAAACTTTCAGAAAATTCTTCCTTTCTTTTTCATTATAATGATTTATAAATATTTTAAAATTATGTTAGTAAATTAAGTTCAAATAATATTATTGCTAAATTATATAGGTTCATCTTCTTAGACTAAGGGAATAAGAATCATTAAGCACCATATGAGAATTACACTCAAATCTTCAACTTAGAAACACCGGATAAATCGATAAAAATTACTTTTTACTATACTGAGGAATACCTCTTTTTATAGCATTCAAAAAGAATAAAAAACATATAAATTATTTTATATTATTTTGTTATTCATATGTTAATTGTTATGATAAATTAATCAAATATAAAAGAAAATGAAAGGGAAGGAAAATAAAGAGGAATGAGTTATAAATTCAAACGTTATAAAATTGAATTTTAATAACTTTTTAGGACTAAATTATAAAAGATTCTAGTTTTGATATATATGAATTGCCTTGGACCTATTAACGGAGATGTACACATAAATTCACACAAACACTTTTCACGTTAAAAAAAAAAAAAAAAAACAAACAAGAAAGGGGGGTGATTTTTACTTTTTGGGGGCGCCGCGGGGGGTGGAATGTGTGGTGTCAGTTTGTTTTGATGGCACTCACTTAAAACAAGGACCCCATTGTATAAATACTCGCATCTTCCATGTGAGGTCTTGCAGTGAAACCAGAAGAAACAAATAGCAAGTGATTGACTGTTCTTCTAAACGCAAATGGCATGTTTAAACATGTTCAACAACGATCAACAAGCCCTCTGCACTTCCTTGGGTCCAAGAATCTCCTTCTCCAGCGACTTCTCCGATACCCAACAACAAATCACCAAGCACGACACCATCTACAGAGAAGCACCGGTCTCGTCGGATTTCGAGTTCTCCGTCTCCGGCGACTCAATGATCACCGCCGATGAGCTTTTCTTCAAGGGGAAGTTGCTGCCATTGAAGGATAACTGTGCGAAGATGACTCTGAGAGATGAGCTACTTGTCGAAGATGATGGTGATTATGAACATGTGTTGCCGAGACTGCCGAAGAATTCGTGTCGGTGGAAGGAAAAGTTGGGTCTGAAGAGAAATCAGATTTTTCTAAAGAAATGCAATGGAAATGATAAGAGTTTGGATAGCATAGATGAAGTGAAAGAGCCTGTGTTTGTTCCTCGTGAGGAGATCTATGCCGGTGACTTGACAGGTGAGATTGGCATTTTGTTTAGTTTTGGAATTACAAATTAATATTTGTTGAATCTAAGTTTTTTTTTTTTTTTTGGGGGAAGTGTTATCGAATCTAAGTTGTTGATCTAATGAATTATTATATTTGAATCGGGTGGGTTCGAACATTGATGGCGTTTAATACTAATCTAATTTAAGTCGTTGATCTAATGAATTGTTATAATTGGATCTGATGGGTTGAACATTGATGGCATTCACCACCAATCTAATCTATGTCGTTGATTTAATAAATTGTTATATTTGAATTTGGATTAGCGATAAATTTTGATATTAGATGTGATTATTGATAAATATAGAGCGACAATTCAATATAAAGCGAATGAGGATACACTGTGGTAAAACAAAAAAGTTGAAGTAAAAGGTTATTGGAGAAAATTCGATTATATCAGTAGATTAAATTAGTAAATTAAATCTGATAATGAACCCCATAAACTCTTTTGAAAGTTATTTTTATCAAATGATGTTACTTGGTCTTATTTTACTAGTTTAATCCATTATTGTCGTTGATTAACAGTAAATCTAAATAGTAGAATGGAGTCTAATAAGGGACGAACTGTAAATTTAGATGTCTTGAGTTTGAATTTTGTTAACTCTATTTCTTATGAATATCTTAGTCCCGTCATGAATATTTTATTTTTGATCCTATTGAGAAGAAAATAGCCGCGGTACATATATACTGATTCGAATATTACCGATCATTAAAAAAAAATAGTTGAATTGAGTATGAATCCAAGTATTGAATGAGATTTACCACCCATGTTATGGAAGCAATAAATAAAGTTAAATATTATTAGTCATCATTGTTTGGTTTCTTTCCTATAGGGGTTGTTAATTGTTTGTTTTTCTTTTTGGATTTTTGTCCTAAGTGCAGGAGCTAAATGCTGATGAGCAAAGCAAAGGGAGCGCTGCAGAATAACCATGATTTCCCTGGAATGAGGACCTTTTTGTTTTCGTATATTAGCTCTACTGTGTTAAGAGTTTGGTAGGCTTTTGGATGAATTTAGAGACATTATGATTTGATTTTTGCTTTAACTGTTACCCTCCATCCATAGCAGCTAGAAGGGTGTGTAAGTATGTTAAGGTTCATGATTTGTACAAATATTTGTAGTGCAAAAACTTCTATGTAAAAGTTAAGAGTGAACTCGGTTGCTACAGATAGTCCTCACATGATCCTCGAACTAGGTTCCAAATTTCACTCATCTTTATGGTGTAATAAAGTTCTTTCATAAAAAATAAATAAATTTTCGTGTGTTTGTTAATCTAATCCAATAGAATAATCCCTTGTTATGTTTCTCTTTTGTCTGAAATTGGGTTTTTTCGGGCGTCACAATATCTCGGATATAAAGTTCATTTCTGAATTTATATAATAGTTTGAAATTTTTTAGAATATGATATATATGCCACTTAACCATCCAAGTCAATTTTTTGAATGAAATTTGGCGTAGAATACTACCCTCAATCAGATAAAGTCGGTCAAAGAAATAGTCTTCCGCAAACTCATCGATTTGGATCATGGAATCTAAAAATTTGTGCCCATCAACTCGTGTGAACAACCCTATTTATAGTCATTTAATGAAATTGGAAATTTCATAACAGTCCATCCAATAAAAAGAAAAAGAGTAATACTATGTATCCCAAATGAAGGATGATCATTGGATCAGTGGATTCCATCAATTTTTTTAAATGAGAATCATTGATCCAATGATCCTTTTTGATTTAGGATGCAAATTTGGATTACAAATTTGAGATAAATATTATTACTAAAAAAAAAAAAGTTAAAAAAATGTAGCTGCCTTGCAGGCATATCAATGATCATAGTTGAATTCTTTATAAAATAGATATATCAATCCAAAAATATAATCTAATTAAATCTTAACACAATTCATTAAATTTTTAACTTAATTCCATCAAATAATTCTATAGATTTGGTTTCCAAATTAGAATATTTATGTGGCTAATTCGATTCAAAATTCAATCAAAATTTTAAAATAAAATCCATTCCAACGGTCCACAAACGTGTAAGTAGAATTGAATCCGTTTTGGTAACATACCCCTCAAATCTAACGGTCCAATGCCGTTTATTCCCAATTTCATCGCTTTCGAAAAGATAGAATAGAGGCGGCAACTACATGACCGGACGGACGTGAAAAAAAAAAAATTTACAATAAATACGCACAGCTGTGAGGACTGAACAATGAGTCTCACCGTCTTCACTCTGCGTTCTTTCCTCCGCGACAAACTGTGATCAAACCCTAGGCGGATAATACGAGAACGATGGAGCTCAAGCCTGGCCTATCAGCTTTGGTCACCGGAGGCGCCTCTGGAATCGGTAAAATTTCATAGTCTTTCCGATTGCTTGGTTTCTATATCTAATCTGCGTTGATTCAGAGGTACAGTTCTTACATATATTCAACATGTAGTTCTCTCACCTTCTTTTGGATTTCTTGCTCTCCATATCGACTGTTTTATTGATACAGAAATACAATTGTATGTTTCTCATATTTTCGATTTCTTGACATCTTTTCGTCTTTTCAATTTCTTGATTTCCATTCTCGCATTGTTTGTGTTGTTACAGGGATACAGTTCTTATAGCGTATGTATTTTTCTCATATTCTTTAGATTTGTTGTTTTTCATATCCACGGTTTGTGTCGATGCAGTGATAACGTTTAGATATATGTATAATATGGATCTTTTTCATCTGCTTTTTGGTTTCTTGCTTTCCGTATCCATTGGTTGTGTTCATATGTATGTATAATATGTATCTTTCTCTTCTTTTCAATTTCTTGTTTTCCATATTGAGTATCTATGAGTATGGATATGTGTAACATGTAGATTTCAGAGATAAAAGTTCATATCTATAAGTATGGGCGAGGAACAATAGGCATCTTTCGCATCTTCTTTTCTTTTCAATTGCTTGCTTTCCATATCCACTGTTTGTGTTGATACATGGATCCAATTCATATGTATATGACATGTATCTTTCTTATCTTCTTTTCAATTTCTTTCTTCCATGTCCACCGTTTTTGTTGATTTAGGGATACAATTCACATATATATGTAATATGTATGTGTTGTGGTGGTTCACATGTAGGCAGAGCTCTTAGCTTGGCTCTCGCACAGAAGGGAATTTTTGTTACTGTTGTTGATTTCTCTGAAGAGAGGGGAAAGGAAGTTTCATCCCTTGCTGAAAAGGAGAACGCCAAATTTCATCCAAAGTTGGAATTTCCGACTGCTATGTTTATAAGATGTGATGTTTCAAATACAAGTGAGTGAAGTTTTGTATTCATGACGTGAAAAAAAAAATTCAGCACTCGCTTTGTTTACAAGGCTTGAGATGGAGATGCAACTAATTTTCTACAGTGACTATATTTACATGAAATAGTAAATTGTATCATCAAGTTCACTGTTATGTCTCTGCAATGAATAGTGGTGTGTCCTATCTTTTTGTAGTCATATTTAGTGTCCATGGCCAGTTCATGTGATAAATATGCATTGCTATTTCTTTGTACTCTTTAAAGCCTTGCATTTTCATAGCAAACACACTTTTGAATTTGGAGCTATAATCACAAACATGTGCGGCCTTTGATTTTGATGTAGTCATGATCTTTATATTTGACTCACTTCGCATTCTCAATAGCTTATATTATGCTTGGTTTAAGGTGGAGATTCAAGGAACTGAAAAATGATATATAATTGGAAGTTTCTCAGTCATATGGAGAACCAACGAGTGGTTGTTTTGCTCCCATGGTATCTCACTCAAACTTCTAAGTGATTAACATTTACATTATTAGCTAGAGACTGCTTGTCTGTGATAATGTGTCATTGGGGATGTCTAATTGTGCTACAGAACTCACCGGAGTGATAAGATCAAAATTTTGATTGCAACTTTATTGCCATACGCACCAAGATAAAAGTTGTTTATAAACAGATATAAGTGTCCTTTTTCATTATTCATGATTAATTCTATTGTGTTGTGCTTGTCTTTCTACAAAGAATAATTCTGCAATATAATATGTAGTGATGTTTTGAAAAATTGCATTAATCTTTCCTACTTTAAACAGGAGAACTGAATGCTACTTTTAAAAAGCACTTGGAGACATATGGAGGCTTGGACATATGCATTAACAGTGCAGGCATTGGAAATCCAGTGCCATTCCATAAAGATCAAACTGATGGTTCTGGTTCTGGTTCATGGAGACAAACTATAAATGTGAACCTTAATGCAGTGATAGACTGCACACGCCTTGCGGTAACATTGTTTTCATCACTAGCTATCAATTTGCTGTCATCGCACTTGTATGTATCCTGTTTACTGGAAGTTCTTGTAATTTGATAGACGAATGTTTATGATATATGCTTTTTTTTTTGAGTAGAAGTCATTATCTCCTGAAATAATACTTGCTTGGCACTTGGTGGTAGTATGGTATTAGGGAGGGAGGACATTTTGTCATAGACTCATTTCTTTTTTGTGTTTCTTTGTACTATTTTGACTTCCATATATATGATCTATTATTTGGAGTAACATCTCCAATACATAGCGACATATCATTATGTTTAATGCGGACATGGCTTTCAAGGTGCTGAGTCGTATTAGAAAGTGAATTTTAAGCACCTTCTTTGTCTTTCTCATTGTTCATATTAAGACTGAAAAGTTAACATAAAAGGAGATTTGATTTATCGTTGCTTTAGTTTGGAAGAGGTCTACCCTTTCCTATGTAGAATATAATAGTCTCCTTGTGCCGTTGCTCAAAAGCCTTGTGTACTCTCGGTAACTTTTCGTGGTATTATCTGTAATTGTTATTCTAACATTTGACTTGACACTATCTATATCCACTGCCTTTGTGTGGGGAGTGGGGACATATCAGTGATTGCATAATCTTTTCCACTCATGGTTTGCAACTAGAATTGGCTTCTTCCTTTGTGACACAATGTAATTGACTCTCGAAGTTTTCATTCCATTCTTGTAAGTGGTTCTGTTATCTGCTTTACTCTTCTTGACATTTAGCTCTTAATTGTTGAAGGAGTTGCTCTATATTTGTATTGCAATAATTTTCTGTCCCTTTAAAAAAATTGTGTCTTCATTTTTGTGGATATTTAACTGACTGACTTTGGTTAAAGGAAGGAACAAATAAGGTTTATTGGTTCCTTGGTTTGTTTGATCTAATGATTTTATGTTCTATTTGATTGATATCCTATATTAGTAAGAACCATCATAGCTAGAAAACAGTCTTAGAATTTTAAGCTCCTATGTGTTTCTCAAGTATCACGAGTAAATTTGGTCTAACAGGGCACACATCTTATGCTTTATGATCCATATAGGTTGCTACCAATGAAGCAAAAAAGGTAGAATATGGTGTTCTCACAGATTCTCTGTGTGATAACCCTATATATATATATATCAATGGGTCAAAGGTGCTTGAATTTGTGGGATAACATGTGAAGAGAGAAAATTGATCGTAAATAGTGGCTTAACAAATAAAGAGCATAAGAGAGAACTTACCAATAAAAAAAAAGAACTAACTGGCAACGTATCAACGGTGCTTTAGTTACTGGGATCAAATGTAAATAGATCAAATGGGTGGTACTAGTGGGAAAATAAGTCAAGAGAAAAATTATCAAAAACAAAAGGAAAACACTTGAAGAAAATAGAGAGAAATTAAATGGAATCCCTTATCAGTTTCCTTTAATTATGGCATGATATATTACAGAAAGTGGTGCCTTGAAAAAAATAACATACATAATTTTCGTACGGCTCTAAATATATATAAGGGGGTTATGGGTTCCTTTGGAAGGGAGGGAGGGAGAAAGAAAGAGATGCCATACGAGAAATGAAGGGCTCATAATTGACATATTATATAGACAAAAATAAAAGACAAAATGTGAGGCTAGGAGATGAAGAAGAGGAGAGTTATTTGATCAAAAGATGGAGGGGCTACATCACGTCCGAATTTTTTTATGGGATTTGGGAGGATTGTACAATATGCATTCTCATTTAAATCTCTTTGCAATGAGTTTGTTTTATTGTTATCGTCGTTGGATTCCGATTGATTGTTCAATTGTTGATTTTTTATGTTCATTTGTAATCTCAATTACTGTTAAATTGAACCAAAAATATAGAGCACTAAAAAGCTCAAAGGAATTAATATAATTTCCCAAAATTGACTGCTATGACTTCAGTCTCCATTCTTTCACTATTCCAATATTTTTTTTATCTGAATTCAACTCGCATCTGGGAGAGGTTAATGTGGGTGAGTTTGGGAGGCCCAGTAAGTAATTTATAGCACAATATACGATGACAAATGATCAAACAATAATCGAACAACCAACCGCATAAACATATAATAAATTGAACACTTATCACAAATCTCTTTCATAAATCATACAAAATCCAATTGTCCAATCCTTTAAATCACTCGTGGCTTCGTACTTAGTTCGTCCCAGTTACATGCTAGGCATTACTCGATACATTTCATTTTGACACACACCCCTCAGAGCCATATACACATCTTAATTCCATAACCTTGCCGGTGAATGCGCCCGACGAATGTGTCAATACACCCCAAACAGTCCAGCAACAAAAATATCTTCAACACAACAAATACGACACATTTGAACAAACATAAAAAATTAATAGTTGAACAATCAATTAAAATTCAATGTCGACAACAAAGAAACAAACTTTTTGCAAAGAGATTTAAACAATGTTGCATAGTGTGCAATAAATTACTTACCTCGTCATTTGAGCCCAATGAAAGTGAATACCAATGAATCAAGAACAATCTCCTCTCAAATCCCATAAACTCTGAACATAATTTAGCGCTTCCATCTACTAATCAAACAACTCTTCTCTTTTTTTATCTTCTTTGCTCATATTCCCTTTTTTTTTTTTTTTGTATAATATATCAAATAGACCATTAGCCCTTCATATATCTCCCTCCCAAAGGAACCTGTAACCCCACATATATATTCAAATACCTACAGAAATTGTGTATGTTAACATATTCAATGCAACATTTTCTGCCATATATTATGTCCGTAATTGAAGGAAACTGATAAAGGATTCCTCCTAATTTCTCTCTAGTCTTTTCATGTGTTCTTCTTTTGTTTTTATAAGTTTTCTTGACTTGTTTTTCTAATAGCACAACAAATATGATCTCTTCACTTATGATCCCACTAACTGAAGTACTGTTCACACATTGTCAACTGTTTCTCTCTCTTTTATTTTGTTATTGGTAATTTCTCTCTTCTATGCCTTACTTGTTAAGCCACTGTGACTATTTTTTTTTTGTCACTTCATATGTTATCTGTGACGACCCGTATATAAATTAATTATTTAATTAGGTCATTAATTATGATTCTATATAATTAAGGGTGATTTTTAGAAATTTCAAATAAATAAATAGACTTCAAATAGAAATTTTTTATGTGAAAACGGATCGAATAACTATAATACTGGTCATATTTTGAGTTAAAAATGATGTGTTATTCCAATGATATAATAAAGGTGTGATATATTTATATACACATACATATATATTGGTGTCCAAATATAAGAGTATGAGTCAATTACCATGTGCTCAAATTCAAAAAAAAAAAAAAAAAAAGGAGAAAGGTGAAGTAAAAGACATGGACAAGTGTCCATGAAATGCTTGGGGACCAAGCAAGCATGGCTATAAATAGCCTGTATTTGGGTCTTCAAACAATGCACAAGGAGAAGAAAGAAAGGGAGAGAAAGAAAAGAAAGGAAAGGGAAGAGAGAGAGAATAGAATAGAAGAAAAAAAAATTCATGAGATTTTGGGGTTAAAAATTAAGCGGTGATTTTATTTCAGATCATTATCAAATTCAAATATTTTGTTCGGGGTATTTTGAAATTCATATCTATCGAAGTCATTTGAGGTGCGGGGTAGTATACAATATGCTCCTGTCTTTTAAATCTCTTTGTAAAGAGTGTTCTTTCATTATTTAAAATTTTGTATTCTTATTGATTATTCTGATTTATATGAAATTCTGTCAATGTTATCGGTTGACCTCTATGTATACGTTGGGCTAAATACTTTGGGGTTGATTGGTACATGTACGAAGTGTACTTGGGGGCATAATTGGTGAAATGTGATTATGGCCTGCGGGGTATGATTGTGATTATAGCCCTGAGGGGTGTAATGGTTCGATATGAGTATGGATTTTATATGCCCAAGTGTCACTTGTCATGTCACCAAGAGGACCCGAGTATGAGGTTATATTTGGTAGATATTGAGTTATGTGAATTATCGAATTGGATTCTGGATTCTGGATTCTGGATTTTTTTATCTATGATCGTCTATCGATTGAATTATTTGGTATTTGATCATTCATATTCTTTTCTCGTTGAGCATATTGTTTCTTGTCATAGTGTATACTTCCCCGCCTTTAATATTTTTTTAGGATTATCTCGGAGAGAAGAACCAGAGTTGATATTTGAGAAATCGAAGACGGATGAATCTTGATATAATTTTTAACTTTGTATAATGAGGAGATTATTTTTATTATTTGGAGATCAAAATTGTGATTATAAATTTATCGAGGCAAATAGAGCTATGACCTTATATTCGGAGATTTATTTGTGGTTTATTATCGATCGATTGATTTAATCAAGTGACGCATTCCGAAAAATCGGGGCGTTACATTAGCACCTCTTATCCTTGCTGTTGACTGCTTCAAATATTTAGTTCCAAGTTCTCTAACAACGATTGATAGATGTAGAGTTACTGTTGTGCTTGTTGTTGTGAGTTATTTGCATTGACTGTTGTGCTTGTTGTTGTGAGTTATTTGTATTGATGGTATTTTTGTTGAGTTTTCCCTCTACATCTATCAACTCTAGATTGCATCTGGTTCCGAGATGGTTTGTTCTTTGCTTAAATTGTTCATGTTCTGTTTCCTGGTCTTTCTCGTTTGTTAGCTTTTGCAAACTGATCTAAATGTGGTGAGCAGATTCAAGCAATGCAAACTGCACAGAAGCCTGGCGTAATTATAAACCTTGGGTCTGCTTCAGGACTTTATCCAATGTATAACGATCCGATCTACTCAGCCTCCAAAGGTCTGTTGTTTTGTGCTTCTGCACATTATTGATTATTCTGTCTATAGTTTTAACCTTTTTCCTTTTTCTGTAATTAGTTTTGACTGACGATTTGTATTTGTCCATGATACACTTAATGCACATGTACCTCACAGCAAATACACAAGTTTTGATTTGTGTCTCTTAGTATTGTTTTTGGGCCTTGATTTTTTTTCCTGAATTCTAAACAGGGGGTGTGGTACTATTTACCAGATCACTTGCTCCTTACAAGCGTCACGGAATTCGTATTAATGTACTCTGCCCGGAGGTAAAAGTTGTCTTTATAATTGTGGATACATCTGTTTGCTGGCAAGAAACAAAAGTTACCCCCAGAAGCAATATTATCAAAGAATCATGTTTCTAGTTATAGGCGCAGATATGCATTATAACACATGCATACAACTACAAATGTATCTCATATATGACTTCTTCAGGAGTCCTCACCAATGTGGTGAGATATGATCTCTGTTTATTTGATAATACCTTGAGTTTACTCATCTATCAAATAATAAGCAGATGTGCTACTGCTAAATAACTTAACTTTTTCGTATTAACAAATGAATCTGCTGCAATGAAACTTCATCTATCTAAGATGACATATGGACTGCTGACCAGCCAGCCAGATGATGAGTAATTAACTTTGTTTGAATAATAAACATATTTTCTGTTGACATTGGAAATAGTTTCTTCGAATGCCAGAAATATGACCGTTTTTCTCCTGATGCTTAACGAATCTCAGGAATAGGTTAACAATCATAGGTATGCTATAAGCAAGCTGACTCACATGCCATGTGGGTCACTTGGTAACTTTTTCTGGATTTGGAGGCAAATTACCATGTATATGTGTTAGCTATACTCATCTTTTACGTGCAAAGAATTTATGCAGTCACCTCTTCCCCCTTTTATCATAATATCTTCTGGTATCTATTACAAGTTTTAGTTTGATGAACTTGTTTTAACCTTATTATCCAAGGGGCTTCATCTCAATCTCTAGTGCAAAGTAGTAGTCAATTAGATCATTCCAATATGATTATATGGTGATCGGTAGATGTAGCGCAGGGTACAGGGTTCTTATGTGCTGATCCAAGCAATTATTCATGCCTTTAATCATTTGAGTTGTTTGCAGAATTTGTTATGTTGACATGCTATTCTGCTTGCAGTTTGTTGAAACTGAGTTGGCTGCAAAGGTGAGTTCTAAGTTTATTGGTCTAATGGGAGGATATGTTCCTATGGAGATGGTGGTGAAAGGTATCTTCCCTCCCATGTGTGTGCCCATCTATATCTCTCCGCTGATTGCATGAGTTCAACCTTTGCAATTATAAACTTGAATATTTACATATCAGGCTGCAAATTCTGATGTCAAAAACAATGTTGCATGATTCAAGTAAGGATATACTGTTTTTTTTTTCCCTGAAAGAAAGTCATAGATTCATAGGTGGTTAGCAACCTAATACAGATTTTTATTTAAAGTAAATATAAGCAAGGATATAACCTTCACTTGTATCAATACATTATCGATCTCCTTGGCTATAAGTTAATATCCAGGGTGCGATATGACTAGAATAGATTTGTTCGCAATAAGGGAACTTCTATAAAGTATATCATAATATCATTATCTGCCAACCTCAGCCTATATTTCCAATTTGATGCTGCAATCTTTGACTTCTCAGGTGCCTTTGAGCTTATCAGTGATGAGAGTAAGTCTGGATCCTGTTTATGGATTACTAAACGTAGAGGCATGGAATATTGGCCAACTCCTATAGAAGAAGCAAAGTATCTGGTGCATTCTACAAAATTGAGAAGAAAATCTTCGTTCACAGTCCCACTGAATGTGCAAATTCCGGAGAGCATCGATAAGATGTAAGTGAAAGTCTCTGCAAAGCTTTTGGTTTGCTTTGAGAAAGAGGAAAGTTACAATTCTAGTTGTCTTTTTGGATAGTTCTGTTGTTGGACATGGTAATCTGTGAACTACACCTTCATCATATGGATCCAACAAAAAAGGGGCCCTTCTTCACATGAGTTTAAGACCTAAGTTCTTTGAAGTGGTGAATAACAATGAACACTAGGTTTCAGTTGAGTTATCTTCACTGAAGCAGAACTATAGTCTGCAGCAGCATATGCCTCTCATTTTTCTGGTTCACTCTTCTACTATTTGTGTCTTCCCATACAATTACATCTTGCCTTTCTGCAAGCATGCTTTTAATTTTTTGGTTCTTCATGGTTATGCAATCCCCAACAGATTGCTTGATTACTTTTTTAACATTTGTTTTTATTTTTCTTGCTTTCTAGAATTGTTCACACGCTGAGTCACAATTTCCGTAGTGCTACAAGCATAGTGCGCAGGCCGTTGAGATTACCAGTCAAACCAGATCATGTCCTTTTGAAAATCATATATGCTGGTGTTAATGCTAGTGATGTAAGTTTGTGCGCACTCAGATCTATTTTGCATTTTTCTGTTTTAATTAGGATCAACATAGATGTTCTGATTCTCGACTAGCCTTTACTTGTGTGACAAAAGCCTCAAGACTACGTGACTAACGTGTAGTTTCTGTTATTTATTTTTATGTACTTAGAAGGTGGTTGAAGGTGAAATTCAGTTTATCCTTTCTCGGTCACGTTATTTTGACTTTGATGTCTCTAGTTCTTGTTTTGAATTTCAATATGCCTGTTAAGTCTCAAGTGTATTTGGAAATCAGGTTTCACTATAGGACTTAGATGTAAATGGAGTCTATTTGCTGCGGCATTTAAGCTATTCTCGGAACTCAAATCAGCTCCCCATCATTTTCCTTAATCCTCCTTTTCTTTGTGGCTAATATAAACAGCCTCCTACCCCTATTATAACCGTTAGATGGACACACACCTGAAGATTATTTATTCACTTGATACCGGGAGGAATGATCCATTGATTGTTTAGTGAATATCAATTAATGAATATCTAGTGATTATGTGGGAGATGTTGTACTTTTGACTAGCCCTCACAATAAATGATGAAAGTGTAAATATAACTTAAACCCCACATTGAAAACAAGTTCTGTTTATATTGTTGAGAGGTATTTTCATTCCTTGTCAATTGGTTTTGGGTTGAATGCTTCAAAACTGATATTAGATTTGGGCCTTGCATGTTTTTCTAGCTATTTCCAGGATAAAATTTGTTTCGGTATATTATTTCGGTCACCTAGAAAAGGAAAACGTTTTACAAATATTTTAAGAACATTTTGGTACTAGAATGGAAACAAATAAAAAATTGGGAATATATTTTCAAAATATTGGTCGAAATATATCGAAACATTTTAAAACGCCTCGAAACATGCTGAAATATTTTGAAATATTCTGAAACATTGCGAAGCATTGGAATGTTGCCAGATTCATTTCCGTCTCATGGAAAACAACATTGTTTTGGCCGTTTCATGTGGGGAGTTTGGCTGTCTATTTGGATTTGATTTGTTGGTTTGTGTGCGAGCTTGAGTCTCATGTGGGGAGGGTGTGAAGAGAGCTTGTATTCCACAATCCTATCCAGTTATTGCCAATGGGTTTTAGGTTTAATGTCTCTAATATGGTATCAGGCAGGCCTTGGCTGGTTGTGAAGTTGTTTACCCATTTAAATCTTTAATATGTATTTTTTTTTGTTTGTTTGCTAGGCCACTTGGTGGCCCGGGTCTCCCGTGAGGGAGGGTGTAATCTCGTATCCCACTGTGGAAGGTGGTTGAGGGACGTCTCTAGTCTCTACTCCCTTGACAATTAGTTTTGAGTTGTATTCTCTAGCAAAAAAGATGTGTGAAAGTTGCAGTAC